CCTGACTGTTGATCTGGGACGTTGGTCTTCTCTTTAACTTGGACTATGATTTACATCATTGGCTCTCCTGGTTCTCAGGCCTTTGGACTTAGACTGGAACTACACCACCAGATTTCCTGGGTCACGAGCTTGCAGACAGCTGATCATGGGACTTCCCAGCCTCCATAATCATGTGAGCTAATTCCTTATACCAAATCAGTCTCTCTCTCTCTCTCTCTCTCTGTCATCTCTCTGTTTATTTAGCCCATGTTTCTCTAGATAACCCTGACTAATACCCTTCATATGCTCACCAACACTTGATTTTGCTAGACTTCTTAATTTTTGACGACCTGATGGGTGTGAGTTCATATCTTATTATGGTCTTTCACTATATGAACTTCCTTGCTTGCAATGAGGTTATGAATATACTTATTCAATCATTCATTAGTTACGTTTCCTTATCTATGAAATGGCCCTCTAAGCCTTTTGCCTAGTTTTCTGTTGTGGTATTTGTCTTTTTCTTGTTGATTCCTTGGAAGATTCTTATATCTTGGATCCTAATTCTAATCCATTTGTGGTTATATGTGCTGTAGATGTCTTCTCCCAGATTATACTTATCTTTTATCTTTATTTATGGTGTCTTGTGATTAACAGATTTAATTTTAATGTAGTCAAATGTATTAATTTTTCTTTTATGCTTAGCACTACTTGTATTTTGTGTAATGCTTGCCAACCTCAAGATCAGAAAGATATTCTGAATTTCCTCTTAAAGTTGTAATGCTTTGCTTTTCACATTGAAATTCTTAATCTACTTGGGATTGATTTTTGTGATTGTATGAGGTAGGAATCTACTTTTTTTTGGCCACACTGCAGGACTTGCAGGATCATCGTTCCCCAACCAGGGATCGAATCTGAGCCCTTGGCAGTGAAAGCAGAGTCCTAACCACTGGACCTCCAGGGGATTCCCAGGAATCCACTTTTTTTTTTTTTTTTCTCTGTATGGATAACCAATCGTCTTAGCCTCAATTAGTGAAAAAGACACTGTTGCCTTACAGATCTGCAATGCTGGTTCTGTCACATATAAGTCTATAAATGTATACGTCTGTTTTTAGGCTCTCTAATCTACTCAGTTGGTTATTTTCTCTTTTCCTGAGCCAATGACATCCTGTTTAATCACCAGTGAGTCCCCTTTCCTTATTGTTGTTCTTTAGGAAAAGCTTAGCTATTTTGGATCTTTTCTCTACCATATACATTTTAGAATAACTTTTCATTAACCCTGGTATGATTTTGGTTGAAAATTTGTGTATTATTTTGGGAAGATAGATATCTTTAGACCACATATTAGCATTCTTTTTGTTGAAATTTTTTTAATGCCTTTCAAGAAAAAAATTCTCCATAAAGGATTTAATGTCCTCGTTGCATTTATTTCTAGATATCTTATATTTTTTTCTTATTATAAATAACATCTCTTTTCTAATTTATATTGTTTGTTTCTCAGGTATAGAGATGCAGTGGATATTTTAGATTGAACTTATATTCAGACACCTTACAAAACCTTACAAAACTCTTGTAAAATAGTTTGTGGATATAATTTATTATTTAAAAAAACAAACACATACATAGCATTCTTACTATGTGTAGCCACTATTCCAAACACTTCACAAATGTTCATTTAATTATCTCAACATCCCTATGAAACAGGTTTATTTATTTATTATTTATTTATTTATTTATTTTGCGGTAAGCGGGCCTCTCACTGTTGTGGCCTCTCCCATTGCGGAGCACAGGCTCCGGACGCGCAGGCTCAGTGGCTATGGCTCACAGACCTAGCCGCTCCGCGGCATGTGGGATCTTCCCAGACTAGGGCACGAACCCGTGACCCCTGCATCAGCAGGCGGACTCTCAACCACTGTGCCATGAGGGAAGCCCCAGGTTTATTTTTTAATCCCCGTTTTACAGATAAGGAAACTAAGTCACAAAGAGATTAAGTAACTGCCCAAAGTCACAAATTTTCATTTGAACCTAGAAGGTGGGATTTAAATCCAGGCAGTTGATCTCTAAGCTCCATGCTAAACCAATAGCTTTGCTGCCTCCCCACTAGACTGAAAAGTTCTGTTTCTTCCTTTCTAATCCTTATCTTCCCTCCTTTTTTTTTTTTTAACCTTTCTTTGAGGGTATTGTTTTGAATGTTAACAAAGATAATCCTTGTCTTGTTATTAATTTAAAAGAGAATACTTTTATTTATTTATTTATTTTTAACATCTTTATTGGAGTATAATTGCTTTTACAATGGTGTGTAAGTTTCTGCTTTACAACAAAGTGAATCAGTTATACATATACATATGTCCCCATATCTCTTCCCTCTTGCGGCTCCCTCCCTCCCACCCTCCCTATCCCACCTCTCCAGGTGGTCACAAAGCACAGAGCTGATCTCCCTGTGCTATGTGGCTGCTTCCCACTCGCTCTCTATTTTACGTTTGGTAGTGTATATATGTCCATGCCACTCTCTCACTTTGTCACAGCTTACCCTTCCCCCTCCCCATATCCTCAAGTCCATTCTTTGGTAGGTCTGTGTCTTTATTCCCATCTTGCCCCTAGGTTCTTCAGCACCTTTTTTTTTTTTTTTTTTTAGATTCCATATATATGTGTTACCATACGGTATTTGTTTTTCTCTTTCTGACTTACTTCACTCTGTATGACAGACTCTAGGTCCATCCACCTCACTACAAATAACTCAGTTTCGTTTCTTTTTATGGCTGAGTAATATTCCATTGTATATATGTGCCACATCTTCTTTATCCATTCATCTGTTGATGGACACTTAGGTTGCTTCCATGTCCTGGCTATTCTAAATAGAGCTGCAATGAACATTTTGGTACATGACTCTAAAAGAGAATACTTTTAATGATTTACCATAGAAAGATGCTTGCTGTAGGGTTTTGGTGGATAACATTTGAGAGGTTAAGGAAATTCACTTCTATTCTTAGTTTACTAAGAGGATTTTTATTGTTTTTTATCTTTAATGGTTGTTGCATTTAATCAAGTGGTTTCTCTCTTCAGTTTGTTTTTGTGGTGAATCCACTAATTGATTTTCATATGTTGATCTTTGCATCCCTGGTATAATCCCAGCTTGATACTGATGTGTATTTTCCTAAATCCTGCTGAATTTGGTTTGATAATATTTTGTTTAGGATCTTTCATCTATCATCATTAGTGAGATACTCTTGTGACTTTACTCTTTTTCACACTGTCCTTGTTCCTGGGTCTCGGGACTGGGGAGGTGGGCAAGGTGAGGGCGGGGCCTTGAGAGCGGCCACATACTCTGCCCCCTCACTCAGTCTCTAGAAAGGGAGCGTGGTTCGGGCTGCAGGGCTGACTTCGAGCCCCCAGCGGCTGCAGCAGATTCCTCAGCGGCGGCAGCAGATTCTGCAGCGCCGCTCCCGGAGAGCCTGAGCCGCTTGGCTCCGGAGCGCGGTGCGGCCGAGACGGTTCCCTAGGTTGAGTTCAGGGCGCCCGGGGTGCGCTGGCGGCAGGTCGCAGAGCACCGCTTCCACCTGTCACCAGCCTGTAGGGGTGGGTTCGGCTGGGCAGGGGGTGGGAGTCTGCTCAGAGATCTCTTGTCCCTTCCAGTCAAGAGCCGCCCTCATCCCTCGAGGGAGCGCAGCGCACGCACGACATCGCACCCGGACGCTCGCCTCCGCCGCCTAAGAGAGGTACCATTCCCCGCAGGCTCCTTGTCTGCGTCCAGGTGACCCGACCCGGCAGGAGAGCACTGATCCGGAGGGTAACCTGAAATTCTTGAGGAATAAAATTCTCTGGTCCCACTCAGTCCTTTGTATTATAAACTGGCCACTGTCAGCTCTGTTTGGGAAACCTGCACAATTTTCCACAACGTGAAACGACCCGACTAACCTAAGTTTAAATTTGTTTCGTTGAGTTTGTCTCTTTAACCTAACTTCCTTTTTTTGGGTGGGGTGGTGGTTAGGGGGCAGTGGAGGACGGAGGTTTACGGGGAAGAATGTGAGTACTGTCTTCCGGATCTGTCCTCGCCACTCCACTCCTCCGACCAGGCTGTCAAGGTTGTGTCAGGGACATTTCCAATGCCAGCCTGGAATGGTAGGGCCATTCAAAGCGAATTTAGACCTTGACTTCACCTATAGGCTTCAGGTCGATTTACTGAGCAATCAGTTTTCAGGGAAACTTGTGCAAAGAATCGTGAGAAAATACCTAGATTTTGCTGAATGTTATTGGTGCTGCACCATGTCGTATTGGCTTATATCACTTTTATTGTCTTCGTGCTCCTTTGTGTATGTATGTTAATCTTCTCTAACCAGCTCCTGAACAACCTGAGAAAAGTCAGGGATCCACCAGATATCAGTGCATAACAAATATTTTTTCAATGAATAAATTTCATCAGTAACTTTGAAACCTAAAATGGTGCTTGAGCATCCAACACTTGATAGATTGGAAAGCGTCAATTTAAAGAAAACCACACACACCATTTTTTATGGTTACCTGTAGAAAGGGCTGCATTTTGATCTTCTTGGTTGAAATGTATTGTGGTAGGAGTCTTGGATAGAGAGACAGGAGACCTGAGAACTTGCTGAATCATATCACTGAGAATTTTTATAATCTATAAAAGTAGAAGGTTGGAACACATGCTTTTTAGAGTTTCTTTCAGCTCCAAAGGTCTTTGATGAAATGAATGTATCACAACTTCATAAACATGTGTTGGATTTCAGTGGCTCCTGAAGACTGTTTATCAGAATGTTGGTAAAGCTGTTGTTATATCCTTTCGAAGGAAAGTATGAGAGTCAGCAACTTAGAGGAAAACCAATAAATACATAGTAGGCAAATTTGACTTGATCAAAACCAAATACATAAGTATTTATAATTTTTTAGGTTTGATAAAAACCAAATACATAAGTAGTTATAACTTTTTAGGTTTAAACAGATCATCAAGTAATTGAATAATTTTAAGTTAAAAATATATCTTCATTTTTTTTTTCTGTATAGAATGTGAATTTTGCCACAAGAAGATGGTTCTACCTGCCTCTGGGCTGCATGATGCTGATAAATCTGATTAACGCGGATTTTGAATTTCAAAAGGGGGTGCTTGCCAGCAACAGCCCAGGGATCATGGAAGACATTGATCTCCAGTGCTGGAATGCTTGCTCTTTGACACTGATAGATCTCAAGGAAATCAAGATAGAGCACACTGTGGATTCTTTCTGGAGTTTCATGTTGTTCCTGCAAAAATCCCAGCAGCCTAGACATTATAATGTCTTCTTAAGCATAGCTCAGGATTTCTGGGACATGTATGTAGACTGCTTGCTTTCAAGATCCCATGGAATGGGCAGAAGACAGGTGATGCCTCCCAAGTATAATTTTCCACAGAAGATAACGGGAGGTAATTTAAATGTGTACTTAAGAGAATAGCAGTTTAGTTTTCTTAAAAATTCAATATTTAATCTTTCTGATTTTTAAAGTTTATCTAATAAGCTAGCAAATTTGCCATATTTTTTCCTAATATGATCAGCTTTGATTTTCATTTTTACTGATTTTATATTATTTAGAAACCAGAGGAGCTCTGATGTGCAAATACTAGATTCTAAATGATCTTGGAATGATATATTTTTGTAGATCATTAAATTATCATCTTATTTTTTTCCCCATGAGTAGTTCATAAGAAAGCCATTTAGCCATGTAATTATTCATATTACATTTTTTGAAAAAATTTTAAAACATCAACATGTATTTAGGCTTTTGAAATTAATTTTTTCAATAGGGTTGTTTAAAGGGAGGGTATATTAAGAGTTCATATTAGAACAAATGTTAACAATTTTTCCTCTCTAACCTTACAGGACTGGATTTTACAAAACATGAGTTTTACATTTAAGAGCACACAGAAAATACCTCAAGCAAGATGACACCAACCTGAAAATTTAACCCTGTGTCAGTATTTATGAGCTCGAATATTTCCTGTAGCATTTATCAAAATTATTTCTAATTCTTTAATATTGATGAAGATTGTATTTTTGTTGATATGTAATTGTTTTATGGCTATTGAATTATCATTTCCATATTTTGGGGTATTTTGTCAATAACTTTTTATTTAGAAGGCATCTTTGTAAAGCCTCTTTTTTTTTTTAAAGAAAAAACCACTTAAAATGCAAATACAACATATTTTTTAATACTGCAATCAGTGCAGTAAAATTGTAACCAGTTTTATCAGGTATCTTCTACATAATTTTGACTTTAAAACTGTGCCAAAACTAATGCCAGTATTATCCTAAAAAGTAATATTTAATCTTGATGTAGTGTACTGTGTGGCTTCTGATATATGTATCTCATCACCAAGCTATATATTATTTTTTTATGCATTAAGGCCTAAAAATTTGTTTTATGTTCTCATTTTTATAGTCCTCATTTTAAAAAAAAGGAATAACAAGCAGAAAGGCAGTTCATTTTATTTTTTATTTTATTTATTTATTCATTTTTGGCTGTGTTGGGTCTTCGTTGCCGCATGCGTGCTTTCTCTAGTTGCAGCGATCGGGGGCTACTCTTCGTTGCAGTGCGAGGGCTTCTCATTGCGGTGGCTTCTCTTGTTGCGGAGCACAGGCTCTAGGCGCGCGGGCTTCAGTAGTGGTGGCACAAGGGCTGTAGAGTGCAGGCTCAGTAGTTGGGGCGCACGGGCTCAGTTGCTCCGTGGCATGTGGGATCTTCGCAGACCAGGCTCGAACCCACATCCCCTGCATAGGCTGGTGGATTCTTAACCACTGCACCACCAGGGAAGTCTCCATCTTGAACCTTTTTGATGGTACTTAGATATAATGTTCTGTTAAATCCCCCCAGTTTTGGGCACAAATCATGTCATTTGTATATAGAAAATTTTATTCTTTTTTCATCATTTATTCATTCAAAAAAATTCATTGAGCTTGGAGGTACACTGCTGAGCAATCCAGACACAATCCTTGACTCCCAGAGTTGTCATTGCTGTGGGACAAAGATGCAGCAGGAAATAATATAATTCAAAAGCACTTTTATGATGTCAAAATATGGTTTTTTTTCCAAGAAAGAGGAATTGTAGCCAACATAGGGTTGAGTGGGGAACAATATGTATTTCTCTTTTGCCCTATTCAAAATCATCAGACTAGATCAGACAGATCATCCAAAAAAAATAAAACCCCAAAACCCACCAATTCTTGCAGTGCTATTATGGTAAAGACTCAGTCAGTTTCTCAGTTTTGGGTTTATGCTGAACTCATATAGCTTAACTCATAATCAGTTATTTTCCAGAGCACTGAAAGCTGAAAAAAGACAGCAAAACATCTAATATTGCTCCCAGAATATTTCTTCATGAGGTGATACAATGGATAAAAATTGAGCATCTATGCTTAAAGTTCCTCTGCTCTTCCTATAGAATTTTTTTTCTTTAAATAAACTTTTTACTTTAGAATAGTTTTAAGTTTGCAGAAAAGTTGCAAGGCTAGTGCAAAGACTTCTTGTATATGCCTCACCCATTTTTTCTTATTGTTAACATCTTACGTTAGTCATGTTTGTCATAACTAATGAACCAATACTGATACATTTTAAATTAAACTTCATATTTTATTTTATTTGAATTTCACTAGTTTTTCCCCTAATGTCCTTTTTCTGTTCCAGGATCCTATCCAGGACACCACTTACAATGAGTTAGGCTCTAAGAAGATGTTTTTGATGACCTTGACACTTCCCGATGCTGGTCAGTTGTATTGCAGAATGTCCCTCAATTTGGGTTTGCCTAATGCTTTTCTCATGGTTAGACTGGGGTCATAGGTTTTTTGGGGAAAACTACAGGAGTAAAGCACTGTTCTCAGCACTTCCTATCAAGGGTACATGCTGTCAACATGACATAACACAGATGGCGTTTAACCCTGGCTGAGGTAGTATCTGCCAGGTTTCTTGGCTGTAAAGTTACTTTCCCTTCTCTTTCTATGTTGTTTTCTTTGGAAGCGAGGCGCTAAGCATTACCCACACTTTAGGGAATGGGGAGTTATGTTCCACCTCCTTGAAAAGGAAATATCTACATAAATTAAAATAAATACAAGCGATTATGAAACATGGTTGCCAATGAAACTAATGTAAGCCTAGGCTATGTTGGCAGAAGGTGTGTAAAAATGAGAGGGACTAGTTTCATTATACCCTCCATGTGTCCTGTTATACCTGTAAATTGTTGCTCGGTTCTGTTGGTCTCAGTATAGAGGAATAATCACAAACTGTAGCACTTCAGAAAGGGCTGGCCAGGTTCATAGTCTGGAATGACTAAATAAACTGGATATTTGACCCAGAAAGACTGAGGGTGAACATTATAGTTTTTTCCTGTGATATGAAAGGTACCCTGTGTTTCAGAAGGCAGACTGAGGACCAGATGAACAAAAGTTGTTCACCTAATTATTCACTGGTTTTCATCCAATATGAGCAAGCACTGGCTAACAGGGTCTAATCATGGAATGAACTCCTCCCTCATGTGTTAAAAATCTCATTGCCGAAGAGTGTTGAAGCCACTTTCATCTGTGCTCACTCAACTCCGTTTTTATTTTCTTGACTTCCTTTTCATTTAGTTTATTAGCAGAAGTCTGGGAGCTGAAATTTTGTATCAGTTGACTCATGGAAGGAAATATACTGTCCACCTTTCAGCCAGGCTGGATGGGAGAGGCACAAATCCCCTAGGGCTTAGAAGTGGTATGGTGGGAGCACAGGATGTGAGGAGAGATGGAGACGTGTTAGAATTAGTGACCCTGTCAGACAGAGGGACTGATCTCACTGGCTCGCTGCCAGGTGGCTGGAATTGTAATATGCGAACTTGGGTATTGTCTGTCTACCAAGTGCAAGTGTCTGGATTAAGCAACCTTACTACCCTCCATCTGTGTACATTTCTTCCTCTGTTAAATGGCTGCTAGGTAATAACCTGCCCTATTTTACCTTTCCTCTTCCTGATGGGTAAGATCTACAACAGCAGGGAGAAGTTCTACAGAACTCACAGATTATTTTGACTGCAGTCAGTCCTAATCAATCTGGAGATACCAAGTTGTACTACATCCAAAAAATAATGTTCAGCCAAGAAATATCAATTCTATTTCTACCCACTGGTTATATTAATGTAATAGTATTTATGCCTCATTTTAGAGAAAGTCTATCACTGTTACGAAGCACATACATTTGAACTACTTTAACGTCCATGTTTAGCATTCCTGGTATAGTATTTTGTTGGCTGAACCTTCCCTTTGAGCTCAGGACTTTGCTGCCTTTGCAGAAGTTGAGGGTAAGGTTGCCAGGAGCTGAGGCCACCATCACACTTATTCAATAATTTATTTACTGAGGTGTTGGTTACAATAATGAATGAGATGTGGTTTCTATCTTGTCTTTAGGGAGCTTAGAATCTGAGGAAGGAACTTATAGTCTACAAATTGGAGTAAACATTCATTGCTTTTAGCCATGGACACTTCATCTCAATTCTATGTGTATCTCAGATGTACCTGAACGTGTATCTGGTGCTTTTTGTATGGGCATCTCATCGTTGCATGTTCCTACCCACATCCATTCTTGTGTCTCAGTAACTCCCCTTTACATGGAACCTTTGTGCTTAGGGCTGCCTGTGAAGAAGAGGAACAAATTATGCCATCTCCTATCTTCTTGGGGGTGGTGGTAATAGAGAAAGGGATTCAAGAAAGCACAAAGCTCACTGATAAGCTCATGCATATTATGTACTCCTGTGAGCCACAAGGAGAATGGGCAGCTGGGCCAGGGTGAGAGGCCGCTGGTAACTCATTCTAATTAGAACAATAACAACAATTGCAATTTCTCCTCTCATGGCAGATGCCACTATCCTCACAGACAGAATAATGAAAAATTCCTGGAGGAATGTGAATTGGGGGAGGAGGGGTGAGGGGAAGAGGGAGGAGAAAGTAAGAGAAGGTGGGCCCAGTGGGGTGTTGGAGCCGTCTTTTATCTGATAATGAAAGTGGATTCTATGCATGTCTTCCCAACTCTGCATTCAGTAGCACCATGTTGGTAGCTTGAAATTGGTCATAGTGGGATTGGCAAACACTACAAATAAGGGTTTTTTCCCCTTGCAGAGCTGGTTGTTATACATTTAACCAGTACACTGCTGTGTGCACACTATGGGCCTAGAGTCTAGACTCAAATTCCAGTATATTTTCCTTTCTGAGAAAACAGATTCTTGTCTCTCCCAGCCCTGGACATGAACTCAATTTTGCAGCTTCCTGAGTGGAGAAGGGGGTTGATGGAAATGGAGACAGGCTGTGGAAACAGCATAATGCCATACAGGGACACAGACACTTTGCTCTACATCTAGCATTAAGGCATCTACCTCCTATTTGGCAAGATACCTCCACCACCAAAAGAGTTTCTCCCTACTCCCCCTTTTCCTTCCCCATTAAGGAAGAGAAGTAGCATTAGAATTTATTTATATATTAAGAGTTAAAACATGTTTATTTTAGTTTTATTGTTTAGCTTATGAATAACATTTGCTTTTTATAGGAGAGAGAACTTATTTTACGTTGACCAACATATTTGTTGCAAATGTTTTTGCTGCCCAGTATTTATATATACTTATAATAACATATATTAATAATATCCTGATTCCCTACTCCATCCATATGCTTTGGATGGGACTGGCTTCCTTCTGTCTCTGAGTGTAGGCAGTTCTCAGATCTGGCCAAAGTCATGATGAATGGTTCAGGAGTGGGCATATGGCCAATCAGGGGTCCCAAGATGCAGAGACTGTTGCAGACTGTTGAGAGATAGGCATGCACTCTTTTCTACTGGATATCAACCTGGGAGAATATAATTCAGGAGCTGCTAGGGAAGGAGAAGAGCCTACTCACAGAGTTTCAGTTCCTAGATCCAACAATGCCTGTAGTTTTAATTAGTCCTAGATTTGATAGCCCCAGAGCCTGTAAAAGTTGGGTTTTTTTGTTTTTGTTTTTGTTTGGTTTTTGGCTTAAACCAGTTGGAGTAGTTCACATCAATTGAAAGAGTCAACTGATACAACATGTTTTACAATTTTCAGTTAAGAGAATTGTAATCTTTAGAAAGAAATTGATGATAACTCTTCTCACAGTATGTGTTGATATTTTCAATAAAAATACATTATATGTGCTTTTATTTTAATAGTATTTTACTAAAATATTTATTCTAAAATATTTGCTTTACATTTATATATACAGATATTTAACTAAAAAATTATAGGCAGAATTTATTTCAAAAAGTCTCCAGAGTATTTTATGCGGGAACGCTCTTCTCTGGCTCATTCACAGTTTTTACTGCTTTTACTCTCTGTAAGGCTCCTCCTCGAATAGGAAGTTTTTTAAGAGCAATATCTGTATCAGCCAGAGGTCCTCCCACTAATCGGGCAGGAGTGCTTTCCACTGTTACTACACCACCAGAGGGCACCTAAAAAAAGCAAAAGTAAATATTTACGAGTCCATTTACAAAATTTTTCACTAAGAGGAAAACTCATTCATCCTTCAGCTAACTTTGGAAGAGACACAAAATGAACGTAGTAACTAGGAGACAGCATGGACTAATGGAAAAATAAGGGCTTTGGAGCCTTTGCAATCAGGGCCAAATTATGTCCAGAATAGGTAGGACACCAGGAACACTGGAATATGGCATGGATCTATTTGCCAGGCAAAGGAGGCACTGCACACTTTCTGTCAAAGAGATGTAGAGATATATTTTGACTAGTGTTTATAGCAGTTTCTTGGGAATCCTGGAGGGCTGGGTCTGGTCTAAGCCAGAACTAGGCAAGGGTAGAGATAAATATGCCTTAACTATTTGATATTTGAACAGCAAAAAGAAAAAAATATGAGACAAAACCCCATAGAAATAACACTCTTTGGGGATTAAATTTAATATCTACTAAGAAAAGTTATAGAGAAAAAAGAATCTTACTGTTGTGTTAAGGCCTTTAATATCTGTCTGGTGAAATATTGCATTTGATGGATGCTCACTGTATCTAGAGGATTCTATACCTTTCTCTTGAAGTCTTTTTGCTTTCTGAAGATTTTTAAATTAGAAAGAAAATAAATTAATTGCTATTAAAGCATTAACTATGGTACTTACAATGAAGTATACAAAATATATTTAATTGTGTCTGTTTTATGCTTTATTAGTTAGCACTAGCATTTACTCATTTAGGCTAAGAAAATAGTTATTAACAAGTTATATCCTTTGTACGTTGCAGAAAACACCTGAAAATGTTACTGAGATTTCCATAGGTACTGGTAATATATGACCAAGGGATAAAGCAGGTCCTAAGGAAATCAGGTTCAATTTTTTGTACATAATTGAATAAGCTACTAAATTTACAATAGATAATACATGTTTTCAAATTATTTTGCATAAATTAAATACTAATTCAGTACACTTAAATGTTTCAAGCATTCAGAATAATGCAAACTATATAATTTGCTGCAGTTATAGTCAAGCTCAATAGTTGAGGCACTAGAACAGGCTAAATTCGAGGTAACAAATTATTTGCATGGAGGGGGCTGATTTTAAAGTTGGGAAGAACTTTTAGTGACAAAGGGGAGACATGGTGCCTTGAATAAGCTTGTTCTTAATTTTGGTTTTGCTATTTTAATGATTCCACTATTTTCGTGGGCTAATATAACATTTAACAGTTTCATATCTAGAGGAAGAATTGTAACATTATATAAAAGTGTATCCCAAGTATTAATGAAAAAGTTGGGAAAAAAGTAATGAGATTTTGGAAATCTATGCTGCTTCTTACATATTTCAAGTGAACAATTAGCATTATAA